ATATATATATATTCTTTGTCACTTTATCAGATTATCCAGAAATTTCAAACTGTTCTTAGCGATGAATTTGATAGTTGGCGAACAAATATTAATTTGGAGGGCTCAGATTTCCAGAACCAAAAATTTTCTGTGGTTTAAAGCTATTGGGAATTTCAGAGTTTTTCAAAAATAATTAATTCTTTCATGAACTTAAAATTTTTACCTGAATTTTTTCCATTCAGTCTTGTTTTTTAAAACTGACAAACCGTAGAAAATTTCAGTTAAAAAGCACTAAAAGCTGCTTACGTCATTTGCAAGCACTCGTGCAAACAATGAAATCAACATATGATGAAACGCCTTCTGAATGGCCACTATTTGATTGGATGGGCAAGGAGACTTTAACGGCACTCACTTATGTACTTACTGTCATTCAAAGCATTCAGAACTGTCAAATTGATCGGTCAGAAATCTGTTTTCAAATTCATACTGAATATTCAAAGTATCTAACCACAGTGGTACTAATGACAGCAATCACGTCCATCATCGTTGTTTTGCATCTTTTGAATATCGCTTTTTTTTCACCTCAGACTTGAGATATATTGTATTTGTTTCTTTAAAATCATCATTGTGAAATCATTATGGCCGTGAAAGAAAATCATTTCTGGAATTATCGGGAGTAGTGAACGTTTTGATTTGAAGTTGATGAGCTTTTATGAATTTTTGATTACGCGAGCATACGCTTATTATTATTTATTATTATTGTTAGATTGTTATTTATTATTATTTATTATTATTGTTTATTATTATTACTATTACTATTACTGTTATTGGCTGTAAAGTTGACAGATAGTAACAACGAAAGTTTGAAATTTTTGTTAGTAATCAAGAATTTAAATTGTCTTCAGAGCACATAAATATCATACGATAGCACTACGTCATATAAGTGAAATGCGACGTTTGATGGCCAAACGGAATTGGCCAGTTGTACGTCGTGGTGCATTGGACGCATTAACAACGTTTGAAATTATTTTACTCGAAAATATTGCGAATGCGCAACTCATACTTGCTAGACCACTTGAGGCGATCAATGTGGTTCGTTTTTATGTGTGTTCATAGATCTTTGCTGTTGTACATTGTCATTACTCACTTATTATATAACCTTATTTGGACGTCGATTACGTGCTTTTTCTATGGTTATTATTGCTACTTTATTGGATTGATCTGTGGCAGAATTAAGTGATCTATATGTGCGTTTTCTTTTTATTGTTGTTCTTTTACTTCGTATGTGAATAAGTAAATTTTGATTTTTCAGTTGGGTTTCATGATTGAAAAATTGCGTCAAAGTCCTCATTTGTTTCCTCATTTTGAAGCTCAAGCGCACACACTTATGGTTCGTTAATGTACTTTCATTATTATGGTTATGAATAACGCCGTTATTTCTGTTATTATTTGCACCATTATTATTTTTTTAAATATATCACTGTTACTGTTATTTTATTATCATCATTATTTTTATTATTATTATCATTGTTAATGCTATCATTATCACAGACATTGTTATTACATTATTAGTAGCTTTTTTCCACAGTGGTAATTTGAATCCAAAAAAGTCTTTGAAATGAAAAGCCGAGATAAGTTAACGTTATCGTTTGACTGAATGCAGGGAATGTACTGTTGGTTGATACGTTTGCCCGATGATGCCGAAAGACAATTTTTGGCTGCTCTAAAAGTAATTTCATTCAGTCATTTGATGTGATAATTTTATCGCTTTTTATCTTCATATTCAGTTCAGTTGATCTTATTGAGTCAAATCTCTTTGCTTAGACCTAAAGGAACGATCTTATATAGATCAAATCAATGTTAAATTTTTGAATATATAATATCCATTCAAAAAAATTTCATCAAGTTGTATTCAAAAGTTCATTATCATGAAGCGGTCATCAGATGCTTGCGGAAGACATCCCGTGAATATGCGTTGATGATGATGAATTGGTTTTGCGAGGTGCTTCGCATATTGTGATAAATTTAATACGGCAATTTTTTAAGAAATTTAATACTGATTTTGATTTTTTGCTAGTTAGTATTTGATAATCCATTTATAGGCCGCAAAAGATACCGAATTATGGACGGTTGTTAATTTGAGTTTAGCGATTTTGTATTTGATGACATGCCGAGAGAATGAGTTTTATGGTTTGTTTGAACGAATCACTCCGAATAAATTGCAATCGACATCACCTCTTCTCAGGGCATCTGCTCATTTTGTTCACGCCTTGCATTCATTTCTACATTCAAGACTTCAGGAAGCCAGGTTTTTGCATTTTCTGCGTATTACATCTAATGAATATGGCAACTGAAATTGTATTTATTATTATATTATTATTATTATTATTATTATTATTATAATTAATTATTGTTATTAATTATCATTATTATTGTTGATTATCATTATTTATTATTGTTATAATAATAATTGTTATTATTGTTATTATTTATTATTATTATTGTTATTAATATTATTGTTATTAATATTATTGTTATTGTTATTATTATTATTATTATTATTATTATTATTATTATTATTATCATTATTAATATTATTATTATTGTTATTACTATTATTATCATTATCATTGTCATTGTCATTATCATTATCATTATCATTATCATTATTACTATTACTATTACTATTACTATTACTACTACTGCTATTATCATTATTATTATTACTATTATCGCTGTTATTGCTAATCAGCACCAATAATGGTATGATTATATTATATATGCGTTATTGAGATGAACATGTATTTAAGTGATTAGTGGTATAAGTTATCATATAATTTGAACATGTTAAAGAGTGAATTTGGTCACGTAACGGTATTACTTAATCTGATAGAAATGAGAAGTGATTTGAAGGAGTCATTTGACGGACAGTGTGACGATTGTTCGTGATGAAGGTGTTCCACGTATACAAGCATTAGCCACTTTGTTATCGTCGAGATTAATTGGTAGTGAAGCAACTGATATGTTACTAGCTGCCAGCAATTGGGCCGCGAAGAGTGCCGATCAATCGTTATTCCTTTGGTCGAATCACCTTATTTATGGTACTTGAGTTGATTCACTTCTTAGGACTTGTGATGGTTATAATGCTACGTTAGCACGTTATGATAACTTAATGCATTTTCCATACCATTATTACTTCTCAGTGAACGTTCAATTGTTTTTGCTGTTGTAATGCACATCTTATCTATTGAAACAGATCCGAATCTGCCAGTATTATTTCGGAACATTGATTCAGTAAAAACCGACGTTCAGCATTCCTGTAGTATAGGTGCTAACAGTGCTAACGTTCGTAATTACGTAATTGCGGATCTTTTGAATGATTCGTTGTTAGTCGAATAAATGGATGTATAAATTTATTATTATGGATCAACTGAACGAAATTGCAGAACTTCAACTACGTTGTGGGAATGTGGAGCAGGCACAGGTATTTAAAGCAAAAATCGAACAACAACAAGAAAATTTTTCCCGAGGTGTACACGAAGCAATTAATACTCAAGCGCATTCCCTTGTTCAGGTAGGCATCATTCACTTCTATTAGCAATGATTATTGTTGTTCATTATCATTGTAGTTAATAATGATATGTTACTGTATATTGTTGTTATCAGCATTGTTATCAGTCTTATTTATTGATGTTGTATGTGGTAGTTACCTAATGGGTATAAAAATCAAATTGCTTCTCGAACTCTTCAGCATTATTTTTATTGGTGTTACTCTTTCCTCCGTCACCAATCGCGTTTTCGTATTTGATGTATTTGGTTGCTAACATGATGAGTTTGGTTAGTTTTTGCAGAAAATTAGAGAATATCAGGAAAATTTTGCTTGCAACTTTGAATCTTACTTATCCGATCAAATATAAATAGCGTATTCTCCAGCTTGGGTAGGAGTAGTGATGTTTCTGTTGCACTTTTTTGGCAAGCTGTTCTATTCCATCCTTCAGTTCTTCGGTTCCGTTCTATTCTTTGCGTCATTTTTTTCCAGAATTATTCCGTTCTGTTCCTTGCAACTGTTCTGCTCTGTTCTATAAAACTGTTCTGTTCCTTCTGTCCTTGACTTGCTGGAGCTGTTCTGTTCAGTTCTCTGGAGTAGGACATAACGACTCCAGATGGGCAAAGGTAAAAGAAAGGCAGAAAGTTTCTGTCTCTTGTAATTATTAATATAGAAAACATTGAGGAAGAAATATACTGATTGAGAAAAATAACAACTGAAAGCAACAAATTCCAATATTTATTGTTCTTCACGGTGATCATTCTCGAAGTCACTGATATGAATATAATCGTCTTTCGGTGGATAATAAATAAATATCAGTAAGGATCAATATCAAAAGTAAAAATTGGTATAAGAAGGGCGAGGAAGTGAATGATGAATAATATTAATTGTAATTGGACAGTTCGAGATAAGCTAGAAAAAATAAACTGAATGAAGCGGTAGATAAAGTCTCATGTGAATTTGAATCGAATCATATCAAAACTGATTTTGAATTTCACTGAACAATTTTCTGTGTGCATAATTCTTGTCGCTCAGTTTGTTTTCATTCGTGAATTTATCGTTTTTGATTAATATTATATTATTATTATTATTTCATGCTTTTACAGTGGGATGGCGGCGTTGAATCGTTACATTAACTAAGGAATGACAACGCGATGATAAAGGGAAGAAGACTGGTTGATAGCGACAGGTGGTGATCATTCATCGAGTAGTTGTTCGATTATGCGCTGGATATGAGTTGTGAACAGAGTAAAGCATGATTCTCGATAAAAATGCTCGAGAATCGTAAATTGTGTCCGATGAAACTGATTCACGAGATAGTCAGTTCTGCAAGTTAACTGTTGAAACCACCGAACGGATCACAATAACTGAACAAATCTCTCAATTCACAGCCAACTGCACAACAAATATTTTGCATTTCACTGAGTGTTGCTGCACGCATATTACCTGAAATATGATTTTTTAATTAATTTGTCTCATTAGATCGTTAACCGCAATACAAATGCTTAGCGTTGGTTTTATTAGGAACAATATTAACAGTCCTACTGTTATCATTATTACGTCTGCTAATGTAGTTGTTCTTATCACTATCATGTCTTCTTTATCATTAGCTTCGGTTTATATTTTCAGTTTCCCGTAACGTTGTAGAGCCAATAACAATGATATCAACATTTCAAAGTCAGTAGAAGTGTGAAAATCAAAAATTCATTTAGAGCTTAAATAACTTAAATTATTTGTTTTTTTTCGATCTTGTCCTTGAATATGCGACTGATGAAGACAATTGTTTTTTTTCGTGTGTGTATCCTCTCAGATGATCCCTCTAGAATACTCCATAAAAAGTAGTGAATTTCATCGTGTTTGTTCATCAATATTCATGTTGTTTGACAAGCAATTACTTAACGATCTGACTAATTTGATTCGTTTGTTTTAATTTTCTAAGAAACTATTTATTCATCTTGCAAATTATCATGCGTCAAT